TTTCAGACAAGGAAAAAATATCATTAGTGAACTATGTAGCTAATCTGTAACACTAAGANCTTGAAGCTGTTTGAAACCATGGGTGCTAATCTATATCAGAAGCTTTTGTTCTCTAAAGTACTTTCAGACAAGGAAAAAATATCATTAGTGAACTATGTAGCTAATCTGTAACACTAAGATTATTTCTTATTTATTGAGATTTTTTTAATATGTCTTGCTTGAAGCTGTTTGAAACCATGGATGCTGATCTATATCAGAAACTTTTATTCTCTATATCTAATCTGTAACACTAAGCTTTTATCACACAATTTTTACATGCATTTTGCTCTTGGTTTGTATTTGAGTAATTTTACATCTTATTTCTCATAGAAAATTTTCATTGCCGAAATAGCAAAGTTTGCTGCATAAGGAATATCATATGGCGAGTTTTACTCATGGTTGTACACTGCTTTGGCTGCAATTCAAGCTCACACAGAAACAACGGCATAATGTGAACTCCATTCTCTTGGAAAGGATGCTATTCTCTTGGAAAGCACACATAGAGCAGCTACTGTTCATAGTTATTTTTTTTTTGTGTATTTTTTTTGGTTGATACATGTAGTTTATATGCGGTATTGATTTTTCTGCTTTTAGGTTTGTCATCACCAGCTGTTCTGTGGTGGTGGTATTCATAGTTATATTTGTGCTCTTATTAAGCTGATTCTTTGTATATGCATGAGGCTTATGCATTCACAATTTTTTTGCATATTCATGAGACTTGGTTATTTATGGACTGATTCGAACAATTTATTTTGCATTGTTGGAGGTTAATGAGACATGGATAGGTTCGGGTTACTATAGAAAGGCGTGGGTTCTACAAGAGCATAGAGGTTAGCTCTCTTTTCAATCTTTTCCAGTTGCTTGCTTCATGTGGTATACATAGATAGGTTAAAGACGTGTGTTTTTGAGATGACTATATAAAGGTTTGGGTTTTGAGGTGAGTTTCTTCTTGAAAACTAAAACTGGCACAACCAGTTCCTTTACTTTTTAAAGTTCCTTTTTTTTTATGCTTTAGTAAGTTTAATTAGTTGTTTTTTTACCTTCTTGGCAAACCTTTTTAATTTTAATGTTATTTTTTTATGGATTTTGCTAGGATTTTGTGTTATGTTTTTTAATTTGATTGTATGTTTCATATTCTAATACACTCAATGTTATGTTTTGCGGCTGTTAGGTCTTCTTTGGAACCAATATGCAGGATGATAAGAAGATGCTCCCACATTGCAATTAAGGATTTGAGATGGTCATCCCTACTTAGAAGAAAAGATTAGAACCAGAACTCCTCTTTGGTTGATTATACTAAATTTTTTATTTAATCTAGCGACACTATAACAATCCTTAGGAAGTCTTTGATGATATGTGATATTTTAAGCTTCTTCTGATCTGAGCACTAAATATTTGGAAATAATAGAATATGGTTTGGTGTGGATCCAAACCCCCACCCGCCCCAAAAAAAAAAAAATCCACAATGAAAATTTGGCCTCATTTTTCATGCGCATAAGAAAAATAAAAACCAACTGAGTTTTTCATGGCCTCATTTTTCATGAGCATAAACCAAATGAGTTTTATTTCACTTCTTTAGTGGTGTATAGAGTTTTGATCAGATTTATTTTGTTACCAGTCACGGGAAGATCAGAGATCAATCGTTATCCCCAAAGGAAACAATTTTTTTTTTCNGTTTTATTTCACTTCTTTAGTGGTGTATAGAGTTTTGATCAGATTTATTTTGTTACCAGTCACGGGAAGATCAGAGATCAATCGTTATCCCCAAAGGAAACAATTTTTTTTTTCTTATTTTTTGGAAAAAGTTTACATTCTTGGTTTGTAGTTTTTGGGTTTTTTTTTTAATTTCCATGACGATTTTTTTATTTTGTTTATTGATGTTGCCACCAATCACGGGAAGTCGATTGTCATCCCCCAAGGTAACAATTTTTTCTTTGATTTTTCTTCTTTTTTGAAGGAAATTTACAGTTTTGGTTTGTAGTTTTTGGATTTTTTGTTTTATTTTCATGACGAATTTTGCATTTGTATGTTTATCAAACTGAGTTGTGCTTCTCTGAAAAAAAATTTACATTCTGGGTTAGTAATTTTTGAGTTTTTTTATTTTTTCATGACGAATTTTGCATTTGTATATTCATCAAACTAAGTTGGACTCAAAATTTTTTGCTAGGGGAAATTCGTACTTCACGTTTTACGTGCAAGTTTAGCTCAAGGGCTGTTTGATTNTTTTTGGATTTTTTGTTTTATTTTCATGACGAATTTTGCATTTGTATGTTTATCAAACTGAGTTGTGCTTCTCTGAAAAAAATTTACATTCTTGGTTTGTAATTTTTGAATTTTTTTATTTTTCCATGACGAATTTTGCATTTGTATATTCATCAAACTAAGTTGGACTCAAAATTTTTTCCTAGGGGAAATTCGTACTTCATGTTTTACGTGCAAGTTTAGCTCAAGGGCTGTTTGATTAAAAAATTCAATAGTTTTAAGCATGAAATTCTCTTGGACTTGCATTGCATTCTCTTGGACGGATTCATGTGCGAAAAAGGTTATATTATTAGATTGTTTGTGGTTTTCTTTGACTCAAAATTTGATCGTTTGATTTAATAAAATTGATTGTTAATTATTTACCATTAATTTCACAATCTTTGTAAAGGACTTATATGTTGAACAAATCTTAGACTTTTCAAGTACTTTTGTGTCAAACCTTAAATTTCGTGCGATTTGTNTGAAATTCTCTTGGACTTGCATTGCATTCTCTTGGACGGATTCATGTGCGAAAAAGGTTATATTATTAGATTGTGTTGTGGTTTTCTTTGACTCAAAATTTGATCGTTTGATTTAATAAAATTGATTGTTAATTATTTACCATTTAATTTCACAATCTTTGTAAAGAACTTATATGTTGAACAAATCTTAGACTTTTCAAGTACTTTTGTGTCAAACCTTAAATTTCGTGCGATTTGCCACAAGCACAGGATAAATTGAACAAATCATCTTGATTTGTTTCAGTTTTGCTTAGATTTTGGACTTTTGTTGTAGCAATTTTTATATGAGAACTGATATGGATGTCAATTAAATACGTGTGTTTGTANTGATTTGTTTCAGTTTTGCTTAGATTTTGGACTTTTGTTGTAGTAATTTTTATATGGGAACTGATATGGATGTCAATTAAATGCGTGCGTTTGTGATTGTGGGTTGAATTTGATATATATGAATTTATATGGATAAAGTTGAACTTTCTTCTATTGTTGATTTTATTATGTTGTTGTGGTAGTTGACAAATGATTTTGTTATGGTAGAATTGGGGTGTGATATTGAATTCGAAAAATGAATTAGGCCATGTTTTCTTTAAATTCACGTGTTTCTTAATAATAAGTAGATTTGTACTAATTATTAGTCATCCGTCAGTTCAGTGCTTAATTATTTTCACGTTTAAATTCAATATTCGATTTTTTTTAATTGAACCGTGCCTTCAAGCACGGGTTATCTCTAGTATATCTATATAATAAAACACATAATAGCTTGAATTTTTATTCTCTACATATTTTTTCTCCNTAAGTAGATTTGTACTAATTATTAGTCATCCGTCAGTTCAGTGCTTAATTATTTTCACGTTTAAATTCAATATTCGATTTTTTTTAATTGAACCGTACCTTCAAGCACGGGTTATCTCTAGTATATCTATATAATAAAACACATAATAGCTTGAATTTTTATTCCCTACATATTTTTTCCCTTAAAAACATCACATTACTCATTTCTATCACATGTTTAATCATTTATATATTTTCTCCTTAAAAACATCAAATCACTCATTTTTATCATATATTTAATTATTTAATATTTGATTAATTTAAAGTTAATATAATTTTTATTTCAAACATTATTCATATACGATAGTATCAAATGTTGNCTAAAAACATCACATTACTCATTTCTATCACATGTTTAATCATTTATATATTTTCTCCTTAAAAACATCAAATCACTCATTTTTATCGTATGTTTAATTATTTAATATTTGATTAATTTAAAGTTAATATAATTTTTATTTCAAACATTATTCATATACGATAGTATCACATGTTGAAAAAATTTAATATAATGATATCGATTTTTTTGGCACTCGAATTTTATATTTTATCGGGTTAATAACTGGTGTATATATACAGTCATAATGGGTACACAAGACTCATTTGAAGTGAGATTTAAACGAAATAAATAATAAACAATCTCTTACCCATTGAAGTAGCTCATTCTGTACTCAAGCCCACGGTATAGCTCTTAGACTGATGAACATTTATCATCGCTTCAGGTGTGACCTATATATATCAAGAAAAATAAATGTGGGAGTTAGAGAAAACACCTGCACCAGATAAAGATGTTAGGTAATAGAATCTTAGATTTGCTCACAAATACTTTCAATAGGCCTTAAAAGTAGTGTTGTTGGCAGTGCAAAATAGTACAAGCAACACTTTGAACTTGCCTGGTAATAGTGCAATACAGCTATCATAGCTGTCAAACCAATAAATGGATATTCTTCTCTCATAGAATCTGCCAGCCAGCCTTCAGCCTGATTGAACATGAACTAGCCCGTTCCCATTTAATGCAAAAGATTGCAACTGCTCTACAAAGCCAGGAATAGAAACATCATTCAATTAATAGAACTTCTCTTCTCAATAAAGTCAATTTATGAACCAAAATGTGTCATTAGAATCTAGGGCAAAATAAAACAAAATCAAATAATTTAGAGGGCAAAGTCACGAGTTCATGTCCGGTTCATACGGAACGTTTGTCATTGAAACAATATAAAATTAATAGCCATATCAACTAGTCGAATGTGTAATATGATAGACATGATACTTGCTGGCACAACATAAGACAGCATCCATAGTTGAGGGGACCAAAGTGCACCTTGCCCAACAAAGAATTATATACACAAAACAAAGGTGAAAAATTACATATAGCAGATTACACAAAATGAGGAAAAAACGAAAAATAAACCAATAACCACATACAATAAGAAATTTATGTATATCAGATAACCCCCACCCAATTTGATGATCTGAATAAGGGGAAAAAAGAAGGGGAAGTAGGGTGGAGGGGGAAAGGGAAGACAAACAAAGGAGAGAGATGACGAAGTCTCCATATATGGGTAATATAATGTACATGTCAGACTACAGGCTTGGTATATATCTCCCAGCAATTCCAACATCGACCTTAGAATATGTAGGCAGTAGTATACAACAACAGCAACTCGGCTAAACATAATTGGAATGTCATTTGTCGGATTGATGCAGCAGAGGATTTTGAGGGAGTCCTTCCAGCAACAGCAGGAGCAACTGCATGCCCATTAGTTGTGTTTTGCTGCTCAGTTGTCGGCAATGAGTTGGGAGAACTAACATTAGGAGATGGAGTCAGCGGCATATTCTTACCATCCCCAAGATCATGACCTGAAATGCACACCGACATAAGTCTGAAAGGACCTGGATAATAACACCACACAAAAAAGTATCCCAATTCCTTGCATCCTGACATGGAATAATCCATCAGAGGTTTCTGGAGAATTTTGGGTAAATTTAAAAATGTATACATTAGTAATGCTTATAAGGAATCAAATAGCATCACTGATACTTTGGCTATCAACATCAGGTTGGAAGAGAACCTATACATCTATAACATAATAGGAATAAGGATAGCAGCAAAGCAGCAGGATATATATAAAAAAAATTCAATGAGAACCTATTAAATTGAGCACATGCAGAAAGCAGACAGGTATTAAAAAGAAGCTGATATCCACAGCAAGGGTATGTATCTCCAGCAGACATAAGACATGATACGACAAAAGCCCAGTATTTGGTACTTCATGGACAAACATTTGCAAGACAAAGGAAGTTCAATCTCCAGCAGAAACACGAATCCAGTTCCATGGCAAATTGCACGAAAAACTTATCACATTTATGTAAAAATAAAAAAAAAAACAATTCCAAAAATANGCAGACATAAGACATGATACGACAAAAGCCCAGTATCTGGTACTTCATGGACAAACATTTGCAAGACAAAGGAAGTTCAATCTCCAGCAGAAACACGAATCCAGTTCCATGGCAAATTGCACGAAAAACTTATCACATTTATGTAAAAATAAAAAAAAAGCAAGAAAAAAGTTGTTGGTTGAACATGTCACTCAAGGAACCACATAGAAATAGCTATCTGTTATAAGGATTCCCGCTGATATGAATGGTTTTAACCCATTGCATGTAGTACAAAGAACTACACATCTATAATCTACAATGTGGGGCCATTCAAATGTAGAGTGTGAAGAGGATGTATACTCACAATTGGAGTGTGACCAACCCAGCTTCAGATTTTCTCTATCAAATACCATGCGATATCCGGTCATGAAGTTTTCTGCATGCATATGAATTTTTTTGAGTATACTGAAAAGTCAACTGGATATTTTGTGTTTGGTTGGGGTAGAAGGGGAAGTTTAAGAATCATATTTAGTACACATACGTCCAATTGTTCCAATATCCTCATCTGCTGGCTGTATGGCTAAACAAAATCCATCAACTCCCTGCAACATGAAGGCCAACAAATCAGATGTACTCTGCAATGAAAGACAACTGGCCCAAACGAATAGGATATGTGTGTGGCTAAAAATGGTGTGAGCACATCACGCTTGATATGCATGCTTTTACCTGCAAAAGTTGTGGCGTAAAATTTCTCCNTGGTGTGAGCACATCACGCTTGATATGCATGCTTTTACCTGCAAAAGTTGTGGCGTATTTTTTCTCTACAAAGAAGCAAAAATCAACCATGGTTCATCAATCTTGTGATGAGACATAGAGAAGTACAAAAATAACCTGTTTTGAGGACAATTACTACAATTATTGCTTACCTGAGAAGCACGTGATTGGCAGTTTTTTTGAGGGAAATTACAAGAAAAAACGCATGTCACATCTATGAGCTCACATTAAGATGAGGCCAGCTTAACAAGAACATGCACGTGACTCCACTTGATTGAATAAAAAGATTCTGGGGTTTGGTACACAGAAATGAAGAACAATGCATACGAAAAATTGAACAAAAATTACTGCAACTGAGCTACTTACAATACTTTTTTATTTTTAAACACCAACCTCAGTGCCATGGATCACAAAAACAGGATTATCGACCACAAAGCTGTTGTTTGATGCAAATTTAAGTGTCACGGAAGGAGTTTTTGGCAATCCTTCAAAACTGCAAATGTCAATCACTCACTGTGAGCACATAAGATGGAAGCGAATATAAGGGAGTGGCTACCTTTAGAACCTAGAATAGTCTCCATCTCGTGCAATTACCTGGACCTGTAGCAATACTGCCAAGGATACCCTTCAAAGCTAGCTTTTGTAGCATTTACTCGTCTGTCAAACTACAGGCCAAAATATTGATATAAGACTTTATGCATGGAAACAGTCATCATAAACTGCAATGACAGAAGATTGTACCTCCTGAACAACTCTTTTGTAGATTTCATTAGGAATATAGGTAAATGATGAGCCACTATCAACCAGTGNAAATATTGATATAAGACTTTATGCATGGAAACAGTCATCATAAACTGCAATGACAGAGGATTGTACCTCCTGAACAACTCTTTTGTAGATTTCATTAGGAATATAGGTAAATGATGAGCCACTATCAACCAGTACTTTGAAGCTTGTCTGCTCAAGGCAAGAACCCCCAATACAACATGCCTCCATTCCAACAATGTAGGTTACACTGGACCACATGTGAGCCATAACATCAGTCAATTGAAAAACAATGAAGAAAAACAGAACAGATATGAGGATAAATACTTAAAAAATTGATTTCTACTAAATATTAGTTGTTTAAGGAATCCTGTAAAGCCATAGAAGATTCATACTATTTCCCATCTGAAGCAAGAAATGGAGTAGCTTGTTGGATAGCTAATCCCTGGTCCCCAAAGTATATCCTCCCTGAACCATCCTCGTCAAAACATAGCGAGAAAGAGTTCCGAATGAAACCAGCTTTAGCAAGAAAACTTGGAACGGAGATATTTCCAAGTCCCAGGCCCATAAGACCATCAGGAGCAATTCCATCCAGGTAACCACCACTTTGCTTACTACCACATCTATATTCCAAAAATAGCTTTAAAAAATAAGTCTCCTCACAAATAATATTGAGGAAAATCATTAGCACCTGTGCTTTTTGAGCACATCAAATTATAAGTAAGTAATAGGCCAATAAAACAAACCCTATAACAACTGGAAGGCGCACAGACTTGTTGGACGCATCAGTACTGCCTGATGCAAGATGTAATACGTCCTCAACCAGTAAACCAGAAGTCGATGTATCTTCTGAATAGTAGTTAACAGTGTACGGGCATGACTGCTCAGGACTTTTGCAACTTGAACCCAGTTCACATAACCAATGGCTGCAAGATAGGTACTTGCTGGTGCCTGAGTCAGATGGATTATACTCATGTAGATCCCTATCCTGCATAATAGATGCCACAAATACCAGGGAGCACCTGCCAATCAATCACTGGAAATAAGTGCTAAACCTGTTACGAAATCATAACCAAGACTTGCCAACTCAGAAAGAACAATAAAGAAAATACATTCACATCTACAAGTGTAAACAATGCACCATATATGAGGAAGTATTAGCCAACTAACCCTTAAGCAGAAGTAGCAGATATATTACGTAGTTTTTGCAAAGACTTCTCAAGGACACAAATGCATTCACTGTTTTGTAAGATACATTAGACAACAAGACAAGAATTGACATTAAAATATAACTTATGTTCAAGTTATATATAAAGTAGTTGTTTCCAACTCTACCAAAGGACCCACACTCTGTATTGTTTGGCAATCATGTCTTTGGCACAAAATAATAATAGTTCAAATTTAAACACACGGTACAGCTCATAAAACAACGCATCCATGTTTTCTACATGAATTTGTAAGTGTAATCTTCATTGCTCACAAACTTGGAAGTTAGATGAAATTCCCCTTTGAAATTGGCATTGATAAATTTTACCCAATTAGGTTGGTTTACTAATTTAAGAGAAAAACTAATCAGCATTGGTCTAGACTAAGCATAAAATCTAAATGCATGTCTTTATTTATTGAAGGTTCCCTTGTTTCTAGAACTTATATTTCTTGTTATTTGTTATGCACTTAAAGTCCAGGAGATCCAATAAATTAAGACACATAACCAGCAACAGTAAAGGAGAGTGATAACTATCTGGTTCTGTAATATGATGGTTAGGTGAAATTCTTCATAATGATTATTTGGCAATCTAAGCACTTAATCAGATGCATTGTGTTTTTTGAACACACATAAATCAAGTTACAAGACCAAACAATTCATATAACAGTTTCCTCTACCATTTTGACCCAAAAAAAAAAAAGGAAACCTGCTTTTGACAAAGAAATAAAAAAGACAATAGAGAGAAGTGGAGAATCAGAGCACTCTGAGATAAACCACAGAGAGGAAGAATTCATAAGTAGCAATAGTGTTTTCAATATAATAAACTAGAAAAGGCTCACATACCAGGCTATTATAGTAACTGGCAGATAATGGAGCACATTGCATACAATCACATGGTAACCAAAGCAGATCGCTTCCAGCATCCAGTGCAACAAGAAAAGAAACATTCGGTGTTCCTATATCAATCCAGGTGTAATGTAACCTGCATGATAAAAATGCAGTAAATCAGATTCTGGGATTTAAACATGTCAAATTCATAGCACATCAAGGAAACAAAACATAATCAATTGATTGCCAATTAAATATTCTCCCGGCTGCCCTATCCCCCACTTGCTAAAAATAGCATATTATGATCGATTATGATATAAAACCCCTATTGTTCTACTGTGGGCATAACCCCTCAATTAGACTCCACTATAACACAGGAATCTTCAGCTTTGTTACTTAAACAACATAAATTATATATATGACCAAAATTTTAGTAAAAACAGCATGCTGTCAATCAGAATATACCTCTATTCCGCTAAAGGAGAATACTACTTTACGATTGACCTCTGATTGACCCAGCCTAGTGAAGCAAATCATTTCATTCATAAATTTTGGATCAAGGTCTATAGTTTTCCAAACAAGTCACTGACTTTTTTATGCAAAACCATCACACGTAAAAGTCTGAACTACTGCAAGATTTAAAAAGAAAAAGTCTGTACTTTTCTCATTTGCAGCCAACAAATACTTCTCAAACAATTATTTATGAAATAATCTCCAAGTAAATAATAAGGGCACCAACTGAATTACATACACTAATATACAAACCTGTTCATGCTACTTTAGGGCAATCTCAATTTTCAACATATATTAACATAAGTGTCTTAATCAAATAAAATCACATTTATACGAGAAAAAAAAAAGACTAAAACTACTAGAAAGTCTCTCTCTCTCTCTTTCATGGAGTAGTGAACAGAAAGACAGACTCAGATAAATAGGTACAGCGGATTTGTATTCGAAAAGCGAGTGAAGAGAACTGACCATCCGAAGTCATTTCCAAACCACAACGTTTTGCTGCCCTCAGACGGAAACAGGAACTGGAACTGAGGACCGAGCTTCATCTTCTGCCTCTGCAAATCAGTGCTCGCAACCACTCGATAGTACTCCAAGCTTTTCCTCTCTGGCCACAAGCCATTCACCTCTCCTCCCTTCCTCCTAGCAACCCTACGCGCCTTCACTTCGTCCGAGAACCTATGAATCAGCCTCGACGAATAAATCACCGCATAAACGCATTCCATCAGCAGAAAAATCACCGAAAGAACAACCAGATACATTTTCGCCATTGCTATAAGAATCCCAAACCAGATCTAGGGTTTCCAGATCATGTCCTCAAAACAGAACCACACAGAGAGATGTAGTGTGTCAGTGTTTATATGTAGTTTTCTTGATAAACTCGAGACAGAGAGCAGAGAGAGAGAAATGTGATGTTTGTGTGTGTGTGTGAGAGAGAGAGAGAGAGAGATNTAACCTGCATGATAAAAATGCAGTAAATCAGATTCTGGGATTTAAACATGTCAAATTTATAGCACATCAAGGAAACAAAACATAATCAATTGATTGCCAATTAAATATTCTCCCGGCTGCCCTATCCCCTACTTGCTAAAAATAGCATATTATGATCAANTGAGGGTGTTTGGGGTATTGGAATAATGGTCGGAAAGTTTAAATGGAAGATAGCTAAATGGCACGGGGGGTTGGTAGGGTTCGCACCCCTGGAAAAGCTTAAAAGGCACTTGCAGGTTGGTACTGGAGAAGAAGGGAGAGGGTGAGGTGTTGGAGGTCACGTGTTGGAGCGCATTCCGCACAAGATGCATTGCAGTGGACATGGGAATTAAATTTAAAACCAGAGAGAGAGAGAGAGAACGTTGGGTGAGGGAGTGCGTGAGTTGGCTCGTGAGGTGTGGGAGACTGAGAGCTGAGCTGTAAAGAGGTGACACGTGAGTAGCGCTCCTGGTGTTTACGTATCCAAAAAGCAAGCCTTTGATTGGGTGGGGGCCATCTTTCCTGACAGCTGGGACCCTTGTCCAACTTTGTCCTTTGTGTTTTCTTTTTGAGTTTTAATCAATTAATACAAGCAACAATCCGTTTACGGAACCAACTAGGGTAGCTAAAGGCTTCTCAGTGGGTGGTTAGGGGATCGATGTCTTTTAGGCATAATAGAGCTATTATTATTTGGCAAAATAAAATCTCAGTTGCATAAATCTTAAGTTCTGACAAAATATAATTTCTGATTTAAATGGTGTATAAGTTGAGGGATTAGTTCATACTCTAGAATTTGTTATTAGTTCTATTCAAAGTTACAAACTTGAACGACAAAAACGCGCATCTATTTACTAAGGACAGATCATAAAATTTTTCCGTTTCCGAGAAAAAAAAATCCGATTACGAAAATGGTTATTTATTATTTTTTCATATTTTTTAATTAATCATTTAATTTAAAATTAAAATTCATGATTGAGAATGAATCAAGGAGATTATGTGGTGTTTAACCGGGTGAAAATGGGTAGGTTTAGAATTTTTTATCCTTTTCAATACAATTTAATTTTGTTGGCTTGGAAAATGTCATTTTTAACTGATCTCATGATTCTCATCTTTGACAAATGCATTTAAATATATGTGGATTCTACTAATTATCTCATATTTTGAAAGATATTTTGATTGAATTTTACCATCATACAATCCAATTTTTTTNAAATGCATTTAAATATACGTGGATTCTACTAATTATCTCATATTTTGAAAGATATTTTGATTGAATTTTATCATCATACAATCCAATTTTTTAAAAAAATTAAGAAAAAAAAATAGTCTTTTTACAAATAAATTTCATTGGCTATTGTGTCGCAGCCGTCACCTCCGTTGTGCTATCCCTAGTATCATTATAGTAGAAATAAAATATTTATGATGAGATGATTAAAAAGATAGATAAAATTAAAATAATAATAATTTTTAAATTTTAATTTCTTATAATAGATCATTAAATGGATACATCGACNTATTATTATTTGGTAAAATAAAATCTCAGTTGCATAAATCTTAAGTTCTAGCAAAATATAATTTCTGATTTAAATGGTGTATAAGTTGAGGGACTAGTTTATACTCCAGAATTTGCTATTAGTTCTATTCAGAGTTACAAACTTGAATGACAAAAACGCGCATCTATTTACTGAGGACAGACCATAGAATTTTTTCGTTTTCGAAAAAAAAAAAATCCGATTACGGAAATGGTTATTTATTATTTTTTTGTATTTTTTAATTAATCATTTAAATTAAAATTAAAATTAAAATTCATGATTGAGAATGAATCCAATGAGATTATGTGGTGTTTAACCGGGTGAAAATGGGTAGGTTTAGAATTTTTTATCCTTTTCAATACAATTTAATTTTGTTGGCTTGGAAAATGTTATTTTTAACTGATCTCATTATTCTCATCTTTGACAAATGCATTTAAATATACGTGGATTCTACTAATTATCTCATATTTTGAAAGATATTTTGATTGAATTTTATCATCATACAATCCAATTTTTTAAAAAAATTAAGAAAAAAAAATAGTCTTTTTACAAATAAATTTCATTGGCTATTGTGTCGCAGCCGTCACCTCCGTTGTGCTATCCCTAGTATCATTATAGTAGAAATAAAATAGTTATGATGAGATGATTAAAAAGATCGATAAAATTAAAATAATAATAAATTTTAAATTTTAATTTCTTATAATAGATCATTAAATGGATACATCGATGATAGCCTTTAGGTAACGAGGGCTCTCAATGCTATTCGGCTATGGTGACACCTCGGTCATTGACGGTGAAAAACCAAGAAGTGGAGAAAAGGAAAATTAAGTAAGATAATTATGTCAATGGGGGACCATTATTGAGTTAGTAGCAATAATATGGTATTTGAAGATGCTACGTAATATTAAAAATTAAACTAATTTTATAATATTTATATTTTAAATAATAATTTAATTTTTTAATTATACAATTTAAAATTAAAATAAAGACAGAGGTAAGTGTAAATTGAGTTGTGACATTATAGTTGTGCAGAAAAATTAATATTTTTGGACGAAAATAATTTAGGATAAATTTTATAATAAATAAATTAAATTATAAATATTAACACGAGCACAACCCAAAAATAAAAATATGCAAAAATAAATTACAACACTACTTAAGAAAGATTGTCAGACTTCTCAACGGACAAACATTTTGTTTGGCAGCAATCAAAGCACATTGTTAGCAATTCTACCCTCAAAAGAGAGGAACTAAGTCAGCAACTAATGTATTACCCATGTTGCCCTCTGTCATAGTGCTGGTGTGTCTAATTTGGAAAACAAAATAAAATGATAGTCCGGCTACTCTGCTATACAGTAAGAGGCATTGTTTCTCAAAACAACGCTGGAACGATTTCGTTTTGAAGAACACCTCTGCTGTATACAGAAGAGCTGTGCCCGTAAAACGAATTATAAAGCAGACAAGTTCCTCATGATTTAGCAACAAATATATGTCACTTACTCAGTAATGTTGCAATATATCGTCATAAAAAATAAAATAACCTAGAAATGACGACCCCAACACAAACTTCATTATTTTCATCTGAATTTGACAAACTCACAAATATCAATACAAAAGNGGTTTAGAATTTTTTATCCTTTTCAATACAATTTAATTTTGTTGGCTTGGAAAATGTTATTTTTAACTGATCTCATTATTCTCATCTTTGACAAATGCATTTAAATATACGTGGATTCTACTAATTATCTCATATTTTGAAAGATATTTTGATTGAATTTTATCATCATACAATCCAATTTTTTAAAAAAATTAAGAAAAAAAAATAGTCTTTTTACAAATAAATTTCATTGGCTATTGTGTCGCAGCCGTCACCTCCGTTGTGCTATCCCTAGTATCATTATAGTAGAAATAAAATAGTTATGATGAGATGATTAAAAAGATCGATAAAATTAAAATAATAATAAATTTTAAATTTTAATTTCTTATAATAGATCATTAAATGGATACATCGATGATAGCCTTTAGGTAACGAGGGCTCTCAATGCTATTCGGCTATGGTGACACCTCGGTCATTGACGGTGAAAAACCAAGAAGTGGAGACAAGGAAAATTAAGTAAGATAATTATGTCAATGGGGGACCAGTATTGAGTTAGTAGCAATAATATGGTATTTGAAGACGCTACGTAATATTAAACATTAAACTAATGTTTTTAATTATATAATTTAAAATTAAAATAAAGACAGAGGTAAGTGTAAATTGAGTTGTGACATTATAGTTGTGCAGAAAAATTAATGTTTTTGGACGAAAATAATTTAGGATAAATTTTATAATAAATAAATTAAATTATAAATATTAATACGAGCACAACCAAAAATAAAAATATGCAAAAATAAATTACAACACTACTTCAGAAAGATTGTCAGACTTCTCAACGGACAAACATTTTGTTTGGCAGCAATCAAAGCACATTGTTAGCAATTCTACCCTCAAAAGAGAGGAACTAAGTCAGCAACTAATGTATTACCCATGTTGCCCTCTGTCATAGTGCTGGTGTGTCTAATTTGGAAAACAAAATAAAATGATAGTCCGGCTACTCTGCTATACAGTAAGAGGCATTGTTTCTCAAAACAACGCTGGAACGATTTCGTTTTGAAGAACACCTCTGCTGTATACAGAAGAGCTGTGCCCGTAAAACGAATTATAAAGCAGACAAGTTCCTCATGATTTAGCAACAAATATATGTCACTTACTCAGTAATGTTGCAATATATCGTCATAAAAAATAAAATAACCTAGAAATGACGACCCCAACACAAACTTCATTATTTTCATCTGAATTTGACAAACTCACAAATATCAATACAAAAGAAAGCTATTTACGAGTCCAATAGCCTTCTCGAGGAAAAAGGGAAAAAAAAAAAAAACAGATCGGTTTACAAAAGAATATATCAACAATTCGCGGTTTTAAGAATGTAGACAAAAGCTACACAGAAATAAAATCTCTTGCAAGCTATATACACTGACATGATACATAAAGCTACAAAAAATTAATTTGAAACCATGTATTTCCCTATGACTTTTAATTCGCGGTTGAATCACAAGTACCTCACCATGGGCTGCTACTTGTTCGACCACTGGAATTCTATTTCCAGATTGCGTGAGGCCCCACTTTTGCTTTCAGGCAGCAGAGTGTACTCCCCAGCAACTGCCCCTAGCATCACAACGCGATCGATCTGAATTGTTACCTTTCCGAATGAGTTCTGCCATTATATTCGTATATCTCAGTTAGTAAAAAAAACTAAAGAAACTTCACAAAATAAGGTAAAAAACTGTCTCTAAACCCTTTGTGTTCATTTTCCAACTCATGTACCTTCCCCATTTTGCTCTTATTCTTGCATGAAATATGAAGTTTTTGCCCCTTTGGAGGACTTTCAAAGGACCAGACAAAGCTCTCATCCCACTCTGGATTAGGACCGGTTGATACAATCTGAGTGGCAACAGAAAACATTAGTGATTCACATAAGGTCTAAAGGAGAAGACGGGGGATATAATTATAAATTTGGGACAAAATGCTGATCAAGGATATTGATCCAACCCAAGCAGTGGAAACAAGGTTTGTTCAGTTCGAAGGCAATTTTGTGACCACAAGTAGATATGGGACAACATATCACCAAATAGAACAATGCAGATCTAATGATTTACAACAGAGAAGTAAAACAAACTAGTAACTACTTTCTGAGTGTTAAATTGCAACAATAAGAACTACATATAATTTGACCAGTTTGGACTATTCATGCTGAAACTACAGGACCAAAACTCTTAAGATTGACCTCCTCATTAATCTGATTTGATGTGCCTCCTCCATCAGCTCCCAGGGAGAAGTATAACAGCTTACTGTACACAATTTTAGCCAAATTGTCATTTAAGACAATCAACAGTGGCATTTTTAGGCACATCATTTCTAGAAAGTTTTATCTTTCTGCTTCATTTCTATATTTCCCATTTTACTAACTATCACAAAAATTTCAACTCAATAGTTGTATGCCAAGGTTGTTTTTTGCCTACTTTGCTCTCATCAGTGATATCCAAAGGTCAATTTGTCCCACAGATGGTGATATCTGATCATGATTCCAACAACTGAATATAAAAATAATTAGTATCAAGTCCCTAATGTCAAGGATGTAAAGTAGTTTCTCCACAGATGTCATCATGAGACATCCATATGTAGCTCCCTTTTCAACATTTATCAACGGGCTCATATTTTCACAGAACACTTGGGTAGATAAATGTACGCCCAACGTCTAATAAAAATGTTAACATGATTGCAAAGAGAATTGCATATTGAACTCCAGTGATCGTGAGAATACATTCTTCCTGAGGTTTTATTTCCCTATCCAAATGCAATCTAGATTACCAGATAGATGGCCAAGACAATGCAATCAGCACAGCTCTTGAGAACCACATGGATTTGTCTGTGTGGACTCTTTTTTTAGGTATTTTAGCCATGCAATTCAGAGTCAACAATAAAAGGGCACTAATGCTCATAACCCTTGTGGGAAATTCCAATGTCAAGTTTTGCATAGCCAATACGAAAGGAAGTGTCAACGTTAAGGACCTTCCATAGACGCGAGTTTAAAGAACACATAGATCAAGCATCCCTGAAGAAAAGGAAGAGCATGTTCAAACCAACATGAGTAAAATACAGGTTGAATGATCCACACATAAGTAGTGAAGAATCCAAATGTAGCAAGTTATACAAACATTTACTACAGAGACAAACATCTAGATTTCAAAGGCTGAACTCAACAAAGAACAACACTGGGAAAAGATGGCCTGATTGTATTGTGGAAGACAAATTATCAGATGCTTCTATGCAGGCACCAAAGATGCAGGAAATAATAAGAAATTAATTTACAAACACACAAGGGAAAATAATCATCCATTCAGGATTACTTGTACGTCAAACAAAAAGAAGAGAAAATGGTAGATCATTCCCACAAAGTTTCCCAAAGATTGGTTACCAAATAGAGGCGAGAAAGGTAAAAAGAAAGGACAAAAGGGGACAAAAAGAAAAAACAACACAAGCTAAAGGCATGTTGATAATACAACAATAAGCCCAGGATACATGTTAAACATGAATAACTGTGGATTGGTTTTCAATTTTTATAAACATTATCGAGTTCGTAAAAGCATTTCATTGCAAGGAGATTTTTTATACAAAATAGCAAACAATGATTACAAGACAAGACAATGAGGGATAAGCACCGATAAAAGTATCATACCTTGGTTTGCCTAGGCGGAGTGTTGCCAAGTGTAAGCTTGCAANTTTTTATACAAAATAGCAAACAATGATTACAAGACAAGACAATGAGGGATAAGCACCAATAAAAGTATCATACCTTGGTTTGCCTAGGCGGAGTGTTGCCAAGTGTAAGCTTGCAATAAACACTTGGGTTTCCAACTGACTGCTTCATATTGTTGCCTCGTTTAATTGTCACTGTTAATGTCCCTGGCAAACACTGTAACAAAAATTCTGCCTTCTCCTGAAACCGTGGTGGACCAGATTGGATCAAGTATTGCAACAAGGGAATTGCATCAGCAGCAGCAATTGACTGTGCTCTAGAGACTTCAGCCGGGCATGCCGACCAAGCTTGCCTAAGAAGAAATAGGGCATCCAAGGCAGATTCTTGAGTAGCCTCTGAGCCAGTCTTGAGGGATGTGACTAGATGTGGAATACTAAGTGTTGCAGGCTCTGTGGCTCTCAATCGCGGAAAATTGCCAAAGAGAGCATTTAAAGCTTTCAAATATTCCTCATTTACTGTTCCAGTGGCCCACAAATCTTTTTCTATTGCAGCTGCAAGACCAATAAAACTGATTAAATCAACGGAATAAGCATTCATGGAAAAACTTATTCAGTTAGTGCCTTTGTTGATGTTAGAGCCCAAATGCTCAATAAGCAAGTGGATATTTAAACAGCCAATCTTCAACAACTTCTTCTTTTCACTTTTTTATTTTTGACAGGAAACGAAACTCTTGTAAAATAGAAAGTGAGAGTACATCAAGAGAGATTGGATAAGAAATAATACAATAAAAAATTCAAAAAGAAATATGAACTCTATAAATCACATGACGCTCTCCATCCTGCTAAAATAGTAAAAAGCAAATTCCTTGAAAGCCTTTGAAGCTCAAAACGACGTTAAGAAATGAATGTAATCCTATAGTTTATCCACACTCAATCTGGTCTTCAAAAATTCTTGTGTTACGCTGCTCCTTCCAAATAACCCAAAAAAATAGCGGTGATAGTACAATTCTAGAGAGTAACACATTTACAAAGTCTCCCAAACCTTTAATATCTTCTATAAAAAAGGAAGAAGATGTTGCGGGGATCACCCAACTAAAGCCCGTCTCTCGGTAGAAATGATACCGCAAATTCAAAGTAATAGGGCAATGTAAAAACAAAAGATCAACACTCTCACAATCACCTTCACACATCACACATTATTGGGCGGAAAGACAAGTATGAAGCCTCATTTTCTAAAGTATGACATTAGTGTTAATCTTACCATGTACAACCGTCCAATGAAAATCCTTGCGCCTTTCAAGATATTTTAGCATTCTAGATCATCAAAGCAAGAACAAAAGTAGGATAATTTTTTCTCCCAAACAAAGAATCAAAGAAAAATCTATGCGAAAAGACTCTCGAAGACTCCAACATCCACCTTCTTTTATAACCCGACTCTGTAATCATAACAGTGTTATTAAGAATAGCAAGAAGTGAAATCAAATCGTTTTCATAGCTCATAGACGCAATGAATGAGCTATGAAAACGAGATAAATGATAGAGACAAGGAAACAAAAATGAAAGACAATGTTCACCCACCCAAACATTCTCTCAAAAACAAATTCTCTCCCTTGCNCAAACACTGTAACAAAAATTCTGCCTTCTCCTGAAACCGTGGTGGACCAGATTGGATCAAGTATTGCAACAAGGGAATTGCATCAGCAGCAGCAATTGACTGTGCTCTAGAGACTTCAGCCGGGCATGCCGACCAAGCTTGCCTAAGAAGAAATAGGGCATCCAAGGCAGATTCTTGAGTAGCCTCTGAGCCAGTCTTGAGGGATGTGACTAGATGTGGAATACTAAGTGTTGCAGGCTCTGTGGCTCTCAATCGCGGAAAATTGCCAAAGAGAGCATTTAAAGCTTTCAAATATTCCTCATTTACTGTTCCAGTGGCCCACAAATCTTTTTCTATTGCAGCTGCAAGACCAATAAAACTGATTAAATCAACGGAATAAGCATTCATGGAAAAACTTATTCAGTTAGTGCCTTTGTTGATGTTAGAGCCCAAATGCTCAATAAGCAAGTGGATATTTAAACAGCCAATCTTCAACAACTTCTTCTTTTCACTTTTTTATTTTTGACAGGAAACGAAATTCTTGTAAAATAGAAAGTGAGAGTACATCAAGAGAGATTGGATAAGAAATAATACAATAAAAAATTCAAAAAGAAATATGAACTCTATAAATCACATGACGCTCTCCATCCTGCTAAAATAGTAAAAAGCAAATTCCTTGAAAGCCTTTGAAGCTCAAAACGACGTTAAGAAATGAATGTAATCCTATAGTTTATCCACACTCAATCTGGTCTTCAAAAATTCTTGTGTTACGCTGCTCCTTCCAAATAACCCAAAAAAATAGCGGTGATAGTACAATTCTAGAGAGTAACACATTTACAAAGTCTCCCAAACCTTTAATATCTTCTATAAAAAAGGAAGAAGATGTTGCGGGGATCACCCAACTAAAGCCCGTCTCTCGGTAGAAATGATACCGCAAATTCAAAGTAATAGGGCAATGTAAAAACAAAAGATCAACACTCTCACAATCACCTTCACACATCACACATTATTGGGCGGAAAGACAAGTATGAAGCCTCATTTTCTAAAGTATGACATTAGTGTTAATCTTACCATGTACAACCNTTGTTATGTGGTAATCTTATCAACTTTTTCCTCTAATTGTTCTTTTTTCTATGTGTGTCTACTGATTAAAACTGTTAGGAGTTTGGATTGACCATTCTCTAAAAACACNACAATCACCTTCACACATCACACATTATTGGGCGGAAAGACAAGTATGAAGCCTCATTTTCTAAAGTATGACATTAGTGTTAATCTTACCATGTACAACCGTCCAATGAAAATCCTTGCGCCTTTCAAGATATTTTAGCATTCTAGATCATCAAAGCAAGAACAAAAGTAGGATAATTTTTTCTCCCAAACAAAGAATCAAAGAAAAATCTATGCGAAAAGACTNCCGTCCAATGAAAATCCTTGCGCCTTTCAAGATATTTTAGCATTCTAGATCATCAAAACAAGAACAAAAGTAGGATAATTTTTTCTCCCAAACAAAGAATCAAAGAAAAATCTATGCGAAAAGACCNGTAATATGAATTGTAATAACAAAAATTCTTCAAGCAATCTTCATGTGTAGTGTTATTGTTTTCTTAGTTCAATTTTAANAAAAGTAGGATAATTTTTTCTCCCAAACAAAGAATCAAAGAAAAATCTATGCGAAAAGACTCTCGAAGACTCCAACATCCACCTTCTTTTATAACCCGACTCTGTAATCATAACAGTGTTATTAAGAATAGCAAGAAGTGAAATCAAATCGTTTTCATAGCTCATANTCTTTTTGTGGTCCAATGACACTTTAAATAGAATACTATATTGTTTTGGCTTTTACAATGTGCAATCTACATTATGTTGTGTTAGATTATTTAGAATGTTGTTGGATTATTTAAAATATTAGATCTATTTAGAATTTTGGATTATGCAACTTGGGCTTGGGCTTGGGCTTGGGCTTGGACTTAGGCGGGTACGGAGAAAGCGGGGACAGGGACGAGAACAGGAATTAGAAATTTATCCGCGGACGGGGATGGGAATGAAAACTATATCCGTTAACGGGGGTGGACCGGAGATGAACGGAATTTTTTTAAGCGGGTACGGGGATGAAGATTATACNTTATCTACCACAAACCTGAAAACCTCGTCGAACTATTAGAAACAAATTTTCATGGGTATCGCAAACTACATCTCTCAATCTTATTAGCGTCTCATACGTTAGCATGTAATCTATATTTGCCCCAAATAACTAAATGCTGCAAAAACTTTAGTTCCAAAGGAAACCTCCAAAGTCACTTATGACTTAAGTACTAAAGTAATATTTTTTATTTTCAAATTACCAATTGAAAAATCTCCTCTAGATCTAGACCATAGTTACTAGAATTCACAAAACATCTGACAACCATGATCTGGTACATCGATCTTAAACAGGGTGGATTCGTGATCCAGATTATCAAAATGTACGATCTCAAAAAGTACATGTAGCATATGCACAAATATAAAATACATATTAATTAAACTAAATGTAAATAGATTTATAATTATATATTTTAGATAATAGAAAATCGAGCGCAAATGTAAAATAAGTGGTAACTGCTTAGTATTTATGAATGTTCTATACATAATATTGTATAGTGGTGAAAAAAAATCTAGACAATAATTTCAAAACGAATTGCAGCCCAAAATAACGTACCAGTCAAGCTTACCCCCATCATACTGCATATATAAAAAAGTATTATACCGCGTACTCGTACCCATATCATGTACAAAAAACAATCGACGATCCAAATAACATTAATCTAGACACCACCCCCAACTATTAATAAAAAGATCCTTTCTTTCTTCCCTATTGTCCTTCCACAAAAAATACCTTATTATTTTTGTAATTCGAATAGCTACTCTCCTGATAACTTTAGAAAATATGTAGGAATACTAGCTAAAATTGTCAGCACAAGAGTTAATCTCCCTCCTTTGAATATATAAGCTTTTTTTCACCGTCTAGTTTTGTTTTCAACTTTTTCAATGTCCAGATCCCAAAATGATAATGATAATGGATACCTATCCAACCCAACAGTAACCCTAACTACTTCAAAGGTCACTTTCCTACCTTACACCCAAAAGTCTCATACCTTAAATCCCAAAATCCCCTTAAGGGCCTTAACCACACGCTTCCTTAATCACACTGCAAAGCTAAGAAACATGTCTCAGCCCAAACCGCAATAGAGAAACTAACAAAATGAGATCTCTTGGTAATCTTGATTGTATCACCCATTGATTCTTCAGCAACCTCAACTAAAAACAATTTCTGATCAATCTTCACATCATTATTGAGATGCTTAAATCTTCTGGTTATAATCTCCATCATGCACTCCCTTTGTACTCCCCACTTGAGTTTACCATGACAAACTTTCCAGTCAAATTGTTCAAGCAAGGTTAAGGATTAACTGGTACAGAAGCCATTTTGCAGATTCACAGCTGGGGATGGCAGTGGACCGGAGAAAAACGGGTATTTGTCCAAACCCACCCCGTTTGGAGCGGGAATGGACTATAAGTATTGGACAGTGGACGTATACAGGGATACCCGTATAAACCCGTACGGGGATGGACTTACCTTTACCCCCGCCCCGTCCCCGCCCTGCCCCCGTTACTCGTTAAATATATATATATATATACTTCAAAAACCTAACTAAACATATTTACTATAATTACCAATCTAAAAATATGGTAATCAAACTAATAAGTAACATTGTTATGTGGTAATCTTATCAACTTTTTCCTCTAATTGTTCTTTTTTCTATGTGTGTCTACTGATTAAAACTGTTAGGAGTTTGGATTGACCATTCTCTAAAAACACATAAGAGAGAGTAAGATAGTTTTGCATTTCATAGTTGGTAGAATTATTGAATTAGCGAAATTTTAATTTTTCATTTTTTAACACTTTATGGTTGTAATATGAATTGTAATAACAAAAATTCTTCAAGCAATCTTCATGTGTAGTGTTATTGTTTTCTTAGTTCAATTTTAATTTTATTTTCTTCCTTTCTCTCTAATAGTTTTGTTTCTCTTTTTGTGGTCCAATGACACTTTAAATAGAATACTATATTGTTTTGGCTTTTACAATGTGCAATCTACATTATGTTGTGTTAGATTATTTAGAATGTTGTTGGATTATTTAAAATATTAGATCTATTTAGAATTTTGGATTATGCAACTTGGGCTTGGGCTTGGGCTTGGGCTTGGACTTAGGCGGGTACGGAGAAAGCGGGGACAGGGACGAGAACAGGAATTAGAAATTTATCCGCGGACGGGGATGGGAATGAAAACTATATCCGTTAACGGGGGTGGACCGGAGATGAACGGAATTTTTTTAAGCGGGTACGGGGATGAAGATTATACTCCCCGCTCCCGCTTCGGTCCACTAACATCCCTATTCACAGCCCCTCTTTTGCTACGTCCAAGTTGAGGTTTAGCCGTTTAGGGTTTTTGGTGAGAGTAGGGATGGCAATGGACAGGGAGAAAATAGATATTTGTCCAAACTTGTCCAGTTTAAACTAGGGATAGACTATACGTATTGGATGGTGGATGTATACGGAGATACCCGTATAAACTCGTGCGGGGATGAAGGC